CCCCCAAAATTCCCCCAAATCCCCCCAAATTCCCCCCAAATTCCCCCCAAATCCCCCAAATCCCCCCAAAATCCCCAAATCCCCCAAATCCCCCCGAATTTGGGGCTCCCCCAGGTACACGAAGCTGACGCTGCAGCTGAACCCGGACGGGCGGATCCCGGTCAAGAAGTGAGGGAACCCCAAAAATTTTGGGGGTTTTTTTTTTCCCCCTCCCCCCAAAATCGGATCCCCCAAAATCTCCGGGTTTTGGGATTTTGGGAATTTTGGGAATTTTGGGAATTTTGGGGTTTTTTTGGCAGCATCCTGAGGATGTTCTCGGCCGACAAGAAAAGGGCGGAGACGGCGCTGGAATCCTGCGGGCTCGGCTGCTCCAGGGTGGGGGTCCCCAAAATCCGGGGTCCCAAAAAATCCGGGATCAGAAAATTTGGGATCCTCAAAATCCGGGATCCCCAAAATCCGGGGTTCCCAAAAAAATCCGGGATCACAAAATCCAGGATTCCCAAAATCCGGGGTCCTGAAATTCGGGATCCCCAAAATCCGGGGTTCCCAAAAAAATCCGGGGTTCCCAAAAAATCCGGGATCCTGAAATTTGGGATCCCCAAAATCCGGGGTCACCAAAATCCGGGATCACAAAAAATCTGGGATTACAAAATCTGGGGTTCCCAAAAAAATCTGGGATCCTGAAATTTGGGATCCCCAAAATCCGGGGTTCCCAAAAAAATCCGGGATCACAAAATCCAGGATTCCCAAAAAATCCGGGGTTCCCAAAATCTGGGATCCAGAAATTTGGGATCCCCAAAATCCGGGGTCACAAAAAATCCGGGATCCTGAAATTTGGGATCCCCAAAATCCGGGGTCACAAAAAATCCGGGATCCTGAAATTCGGGATCCCCAAAATCTGGGATCACAAAATCCGGGGTTCCCAAAATCTGGGATCCAGAAATTTGGGATCCCCAAAATCCGGGGTCACACAAAATCTGGGGTTCCCAAAATTTGGGATCACAAAATTTGGGATCCCCAAAATCCGGGGTCCCCAAAATCCGGGGTTCCAAAAAAATCTGGGATCACAAAATCCGGACTCC